TCATTGATTTCTCTCTTAATATATAGATATATATATATATATATATGGGCTTATTGAAACAAGGGCTTTCCTCTTGATTAAAGGAAAATATGAGTGTACGGTGTTTGGTTTAAGTTATTGGGGTCTATTTCCTCTTCTATGTGCCTATAAAGTATAAAGTTTAATTTCTCTCACTTTGGATTACTTTACACTAATGTAATTTGAATTGTAAGAGTTGAAGTAGGTTATGTTGATCTTAATTTAATATGCCAAAACTTAATAAAAATATAAATTTGTTTGTTGTACACTTTTCATTTAATTAATTAGATTTGTTATACAATTTTAAAGAAGAAAAACTCAATTACAAAAGTGAAAGAATTAATTTCAAAGGTTGGGACTTGGTTATTTGATTTCTCATATTTAACACATTTGGAAAGTGAATATTAGAGATCTCTCCTTATTATGGAAGTAAGTAATTGCATTTTAATTATAGAATCATGTTTTTTTGGTTATTCATTTTGTTTAATGTTGAATATAAAATCATTTTGAAGGAGATTAAGTTTAATTATCAAAAGGTTTCCAAAATGTATCTTTGTTGCAAAAGAGTGTAGAACCAAACAAAGGGTCTAGACTCTAGAACCTTTTAAGTCACTGTTTTTGGGATTGCATTTGTGCCCAGAAAAAGTTCCAACACTAAGGATTAACTACAGGAACTTCTAAGGTTATTGGTTTTAACATTCATACATTAAAGCAAAAAGTTCTAAAACCATGTTTTTGGTTCTAGACCATTTTAAACTTATTATTTTTCTTATGCTCGCAAGACTCAATAAAAAAGTTCCAACACCTTTGTGAACACTCAATGCCAATGGTTAAAAAATTTTAAAAAGGGTTTGAAACTTATGAAGAGAATTTGGAACTAAGGTTTGAAAGGCAAGTTTTACATTTCAAATTGAGTAAAATCATTTCCAAATCTAGTGCAACAACTAGAAGCTTTAATTGAGCACTCATGAATAATAAATAGATGCCATAGGAAGTTGAAGGGAAGCAAGAGAAAAGAAAAGAAATGCCTTCATCGTTGAGAGAAAGAGTTATGACTTTTCATATTCTCCATGCTTAAGTTTGTCATTTTGATCATCTTATGATTATTGTTCTTTTCATCCTCTTTTATCAAGAAAGATAGGATTGGGTAGTCTTATTAGATCTAGAAAAACCATACTTGTGGTATATGATTGAGTTTTAAGAGATTTTAGCAAGGGGTTATTTGTTGAAGGTGGATAATGCTAACAGAGTTATTGCAAACAATTTCCCCTAAACCTAAAAATTAGGTGAGAGGCTTTGAATCCAAAGCAAACTTTCAAGTAGTGGCTTAAGAAGTGAACTATGCATAAGTTGTGATTGAATCATTATAAATCATTCTATTTGAGCTTTGTCTTCCATATTCTTTTAATTTTTGTACTTTAATTTATGCATTTATGATTGCATGAGCTTGTTCATCAATGTACAAATAAAAATTGCATAAGTTTTCAAAAATCCAATTCACCTCTCCTCTTGTCTTGCCATCATCTAGGCCAAAAGGGTAGGGTTATGGCCACCATTCATAATATTAAGACCACAAAATATTATAAAATAATCTTTAAAAATATTAATT